GCAGCTATTCTCTTGATGGGTCTTTGGACAGGTGTTTCTTTCCTAATGCGCATTTCTGCCAGCAGGATGAGTGCTTCTGTGTATTTGGCATCTGTGAGCGCGGCAGATATGCGCGCTGTGAGATTACTGCCCTCTGTCATTTCAATTAGTTCGACAACGGGAGATGGTAGGCACGTAAACGCACCGGCCGAGTTAAGCCCAGTTGTGCATGCCTGACGAAAGTCGTATACTGCTGTCCGAAGATCTTTGCATACTTTCGATTTGATTAACGCTGGATGTGATGATAGTGCTTGCAAGGTTTCAACCGTAACTTCAATCTCCTCTGGGCTAATGATTGAGTTTATGTTTGTTGGATCGAGCGGCGCTGTGTCATGTGGTGGACTCGGTATTCCAGATGTAGTCTGCTTTTTGTTCGCCAGAGTGACATTTGCGGTATTGCGTTTCCTTTTCGCCATATTTGTAGGAAACTCGAGTGGTTTCAATTGTCTCCTACAAATTCTCTAGAGATGGACCTCTTGTTGCGTTGCGAACTACAGCGATTGATTGTCCTGGCGCTGTGAGGTTCAAGGTGGCGAAGTGGAGAATTTTGGGGTCTGTGCGGCGAAACACACTATGGTAAGGTATTCCTGCATCCAGTCTGGTCTGAAACGGTTGCAGGTGTCTTGGGGTACTTCAGTGCCACATTTATCCTTACGAAGCACAGGTATACATGATTACGGTTCCTGTATTGCATAGCTAGGCTCAATATATTAAAGATATACATATTGTATAAATGTGCTTCGAGCAGTCATCGAGAGGGCACTGATTTCTGGGTAATAACTCGAACGTCATCAATAGACATCTCATGGGTACAATACGAGTTCCGACTACTTGTCAAAAGTGTCTCTCAGCTTCGCAAAATGTGCCTTAACATCTTCTCCAAGCTTTCCTTCCACATCCGCTAATATCGTACACACCAGACTATGATTGTTGTACAAAAACCTGTCCCTTTTTCTCGTGTCGCTAATGCCCTTGCTGAGCTTCGTAATATAGGCCTCATACTCGCTTCTCAGGCGACCCACACTGACGGAGACCGGCTCGTCGTCCCCCGCTTCCGACGATAGGGCTAAAATGCCTTGCAATAAATTGGCAAACTTCTGTGTCAAAGGTGTTGGTGCTGTGGAGTTCCCGCTTTGCGACCCTGATGAGAGGAGTGCCGCACCAGTCGAGGGTCGGCCTGGTAGCGATGCGGTGACCTTTTGCAAAGATGTGCAGTGCATGTCCAGAACCTGCTGGAAGCGTGGCCAGAGAAGCATGTTGGTGGCGTTGATATAACCTTCTACGGTCGGTACTTTTCTACGTTGAAGCTCAAAGGCAAAGTGCTGGTTTAATCGTACGCAGAGTAATATTCCAAGTGTGTCAGTTGTAGTCTCCACCAACGACTTAGTAAAGGCTTGAGCGACTGCTAACGTGGGTTCGAAGATGGAGTTGAATGTCCGGGATATGGCATGGTAATTGTGAGCTGGGGCGAAATAGGTCGAGATAAAGGTATATTCGAAACTGGCATTGTCGATAAGTGCAAGATTGAAGCTTCTGAAAGGGACTTCGAGGTAGTGCGCAGATGACTCTTCCTCAGCAACGTGGGCGGTCAGAGCATTGGCTGATGAGCTCTTCAACGCATCGCGACGGCGTCCAAGAGAGAACGCATCGTAATTTGCAGGCGCAACGCGGGATTGGCCAAGCAAGGTCCCACCTCTCCTTGCACCAGGATCTTCGCCGAGCACATCGTACTTATCCATGGCGTGTACTTTGATCTTCTCAAGCGCTGTCCGATAGCGCGTGAAGTGATTGAGATAGTACCACCGCATAGTGAATATATAGGCTTGGCCGATCTGTTGTGCAAGGTCAGGTTGGTGTTTTGTCAAAAACGCGTACAAGTCCTTGTACTTCAGGAAAGCTTGCTGCTGAATGATCTGGGCATTGATCGATGGTGAGCGTAAAGCCTTGATCTGAGCCACAATGTGGTCCCGTACGCGTTCAACAGCACGACGTATGAGGTCATCTAGCAGTGGCTTAACGTCTTTGACGACTTTCAAGTCAGGGTTGCCCTGAGCTTTGGCATTGATGGTGCTTGAGCGCTTTTCAATGTCTGCCAGGGCCTGTACGAATTCCTCGTCTACAGGGCCTTCTGCAATCTTTCGCACAACAGCAGGCGATATGCTAATATCCTCTACAGCCGGACCAAGAAGTTTCTCGACTACTTTGCGGTTCCCGAGTTTGGTGTTTAGATCGATGGAACGGTTCTGGAGCGACTCAATCTCGGCCGAGACAGCTTCGAGATCGGATTGAAAGTTGGTAAGATATGTTTCGACCGATTTCAGGACTTCGTCACACGCCAATATCGACTTGTGGAGATCTTCAAATCTGTCCTTCTCCTTATCATCTGCAATCACAATGAGCGCGAGTTTCCAGTGCAGTAATCGAAAACATACATTCTTCGATTGACTGTGTGCTATATGTATGTACAGATGTAGAATGCTGTTGCTCCGCTGTGTCTTGATTTGCAAACTCCTGCAAGCTAAGACTCCCAAAATCAATGTCTTCTGCCACCTCCGTCGGCCTCTGAAGCGCATCCTCGGTATTTCCATCTCTCAACTTCGTTCTTTTAGGTGGCCCACCCATTATCGATTCCAGAACTTGCAAGGGATCCGCGCCATACTGCGGTCCCCCTGTTGTCTGCCGTCGTGAGCCACCATTCGGCACGCGAGCCGTCCCAGGTAGGCTGAGCGTTGAGGATCCAGGTGAAGCAAGCGAAAGCGACGATGATCGTGGGTTTAACCCAGGTCTGATGGGTAAAGGGCCTGGCCCAGACGCAGGATAGCCTCTTCGTGGAGCGGGTGAATAGGAGTCATGGCGAGGAGGCGGCGTGCCCGTGGGCGTAGAGTATGAAGAGATCCTGTCCAAGCCCCACATGTTAGGTATCACGCCAGAGTCGCTTTCAACGTCGCATTGTGTATAGTTTGGTTCGTGATTGGGGATCTGTGATCGAGGACAGCTACATGGCCCCATTCACTTTCGGCGCGGTGATTATTTTCTCCGCAACTAGACAGGGATCATTTAGCGCAGCTTCGCCCCTCGCGCCTGCCCAAAATCAAAATCCAAGCACGCAGACTTCTCTCCCCATTTCCATTAAAGGACCGCTGCCCACCCCGCCGTTCCTTGTCCAGCACCTCGACCACTACCACTTCCTCTCCCGTCGCATTCAAACCTCATTCATTCGCCATGGCCGACGACGCGCAGGTACGTACACCGCGATGAAGCGCCCCGCATGTGCTCTATTACCCCACCTCAACTCTGCCCGCTCCCATTGCGCCCAGGCTCCTCAGCCTCCCCCACGCCTGTGTCCCCACGTATACTGACTGTACTGTCTGCAGCATGAGCACACCTTCGAGAGCGCCGATGCCGGTGCCTCGACCACCTACCCCATGCAGTGCTCTGCTTTGAGGAAGAACGGATTCGTCGTCATCAAGAACCGCCCTTGCAAGATCGTCGAGATGACCACCTCGAAGACCGGAAAGCACGGCCACGCCAAGGTCCACTTGGTTGCCATCGACATCTTCACTGGAAAGAAGCTGGAAGAATTGTGCCCTTCCACCCACAACATGAACGTTCCCAACGTCACCCGCCGTGAATACCAGGTCGTAAGTGGCAACCGTCCCCACGTATGACATTCTGGCACTCACCATGTATGCAGCTCGACGTCACTGACGACGGCTTCATCTCCCTCATGAACGATGACGGCGACACCAAGGACGACGTGAAGGTCCCCGATGGTGAAGTCGGTGCCAAGCTCAACAAGCTCTTCAAGGAGGAGGAGAAGGACACCAGTAAGTTTGATACTCCATCCAAAAGAAAGTGCGACTAACTCTCCCCAGACGCCATTATTCTCACTGCCATGGGTGAGGAGGCTTGCATTGAAGTCAAGGAGGCTCCCAAGACTGGTTAAGCAGGTCCTCCTTGATCCGCAGACTGCCAGTTGGAAGTGGAACACCGATAGCTGGTAGCCTACGGAAATGGCTGCAACACTCTTTGCATACTACTTATGCGAAGTTGCAGCTTTGGCAACAAAATTAGCATTCTCCAGTGCGCTTCAACGTGCTGTCGCAGACCTATGCTTTGGGTTCTTCGGACGGATTTGGGACTTGCACCGCCATATGTGGGAAACGTATCACGGAATCTTTCCCTTTAGATATATACCTTACGGCAATGACAAAATAAGAGGTGATGATGTTACGGCATAATGAGCGCTCTTCATTCGTTGATTAGTGACACGATTTTTTGTTTTCACGCTAGTGTAATTTTAGATCTGCAGCCTCGTGATCTGTCAAAGCAACCACATGCATCACCTCGAGACACAGCAATACCTTTGGTGGATCGATGCCATTAGCCTTTCCTCAATGACCCATGAACGCCCTTGAAACCAATTACAACTCCACGGATAGCTTTGTGTTGTTGCAGCCATCGCCCATGCTATCGATACCGGACCGTTGTTCGTAGCCACGAACTCGCTCCTAGGATAGTCTTTGGCTATGCGCCCTAGTATGTCTGCTTGCATGCTTTGAGCAGCTAAATTCGCAACCAGCAATTTGTGTTGAGATACAATTTCGCTCCTTCGCCAAGAACATTGCCAGCTCAACACGCCTGCTATGGAGAAACGTTCGACGAAGGGACCCATTTGTGGTGTCGAAAATTGTCGATCGAGGCGGTATGATGAAGGGGAGGATGGGTTTCTATACTGTCAGAATGGTCACCGGCAGGGTGTAAGACGAATCGCTTTTTAAAATCAATTTTAACCTAACATTGCACAGGGCTTGGTCCGAGGAGAAGACGACGACGACAATCCTGTCACAGCTGCGAGGACGATAACAAGAAAGAAGAAGGACGTTGATGAGAGTACCAAAACGATCGCTAAACGTACGATGCTCGTTTCTTTAATACATTCACGTTTCGCTGACTCATGCTCTAGATTTCAGCGGCCGACAGGCTTTCGATCTATATCTGAAAAGCCTGCAGCTCATCCTTCGGCACCAAGTATGGTTTCTTGTGCACGAAAAAAGCTTACCAGCTGAGCTCGAGATAGTTATATACGATCTCTGGGCATTGCGCATAGCTCAACTCGCCGATAAGATGACGAACACTAACTTGGACTCTGATTTGCAATCTCAGGCTCAGATTTTCAGCACTCTGGAGACTGACGACAGTGACACAGCAGACGAAAAACGAGGGTTACTGAAGAATTTCGAACATAGAAGGGAACGTAAACTCGCAAGTATACCAAACCTCACCGATGCTCTTGCTCTCTGCTATCTGGGAATTCGCACATTACGGCTTCCAATCACACCTGGAGACTTCTATGCATGGGTCACAGATGGAAAGATGGCGTATAGAAGAGCTATCAGACTCGTACCGCTTGCGATGCGGGATCGACTGCCAGCAACATTCCATGCCGTTCTTAATCGACAAGCACTTTTCAAACACAAGCAATTCTATGATACTGTCGTAGATTTGCAAATCGGACTCTCCAAGGACCACGGCATCGTATGGCCAGCTCTCAATGTACCTATGCTACTCTACCGCTACCTGAGGGAGATGGCATTGCCTTTGGAACTGTATGACGCTACAACTCGTCTGGCTGAGCTACTTGGCTACGACTTTGCTTTACACCCAAACGGCAAGAAGCGACTAGGAATACGACATCTACCTGAAGCACAGCTCGTTGGCTGTCTCATAGTTTCTGTCAAGCTACTCTACCCACTTGACGGCAAGCAACGCTTCCCTCAGTCATCTTCGGAGCCCACTGCAACAAAGATGAACTGGAATTACTGGAGTGAGCATATTGACGCCACAAGGACGAAGGAATTTGAAACCGACAAGGGACTCAACACCGAAGAAATGATGAGCCTACAAGAAAAGGATGTTCTCTCAATGCACTCAGAACAGCTGGATCAGTATCTCGACTTCTACGCCGACACATTCCTCGACGATGTGGAGATTCAGAGGATAACAGAGAATGACGACTTCCGCCGAGCATTATATGAAATGTTCACAACTGAAAGCAATGTGGAAATCCATCGACCGAAAGAGCTTTCGAAAGATGTAGCACTGGAAAGTCAGTTGGAGGTTGTCAAGATAGTTCACAGCACCATGGAAGCGGTAGCGCCGGTGCCTGTAGATGTTGCTACGGCTCAACATTTGAGGCCAGGACAGGCGTATCAAGTATGGAAACACGATAAAGAGCTGCCTGAACAAACGAAGGTGCTATATGATAAGGCTGCAAGACTTGCAGGGCTTTCGTTGGACATGCTTGTGATGGCTGTATCCTTTACCGAAGCGAGGATTGAGCAGTGGCGTAGACAACAAATGACGAGGCGACAGACTGCACCAGGGCAGGAAGATGAATAGATCGTGGCTATATCACAGCGGAAAACTTGGAAATATGAAAAGTTGTAGTTGTAATGAAGTCATAGTTCAATTATGCCATTGCTTGCGATCTTTACAATCAAGCTAATGAAGATGGCGGTCACAGGCAAAGAGTGAATGATGTGCTCCTTACGCTGCTGGCGTAACACAAAAATTCTAACGCATTTGGTAAATGCCATTTGGCCAATAATGGTATTGATGTCCTGCCACTGATATTTTTCAACAAGGCCTGAAGGCCAGACGGCCGTTGAGGGGCAAGGGTGCGGCGAGCACGTGACTTGCACGGACCACTCGGCTAAGCGACAATCCACACGTCGTGATCAATTTACCTACGCCTGCGCCGCCCGCCTCTACGAAGAACTTCACTGAGGATCCATTCAAACCGCCAACATGCAGATCTTCGTCAAGACTCTCACGGTATGTCTATGATCGCTGTTAACACACGGCGCTGTGCCATACTTATAATTTCCAGGGCAAGACGATCACCTTGGAGGTGGAGTCGTCCGACACCATCGACAATGTGAAGTCCAAGATCCAGGACAAGGAGGGCATTCCCCCGGACCAGCAGCGCCTGATTTTCGCCGGAAAGCAACTCGAGGATGGCCGTACCCTTTCCGACTACAACATCCAGAAAGAGTCGACGCTCCACTTGGTCCTCCGTCTCCGTGGCGGTATCATCGAGCCGTCGCTCAAGGCCCTTGCCTCAAAGTACAACTGTGATAAGATGATCTGCCGCAAGTGCTACGCGCGTCTGCCACCAAGGGCTGTCAACTGTGTACGTCTACCACAGATTTCCAAGTCATCGCTCTGCCATGCGCCCATGATGGAGTGATAGATGCAGAAAGGACTGGGACAGCTGACTAACAATACACAGCGCAAGAAGAAGTGCGGACACACCAACCAGCTCCGCCCCAAGAAGAAGCTCAAGTGAACTATTCGCTCACATCGGCGTCTGGCGAGATTGCGGAGAGGGTGGAACGAATGCGACGATTGCATGGGAAACAAGGTTACGTCGGCTTACAAGGCATCTTTGGCGTGCACATCACTCGGATTATCGGTATCATCATTGAAAGTACCGGACAAGTAGAGTGAATCGATTCAAATTCAAACACCAACAACATGTCTCTTCCTGGTGCTGTGTCCATAGATGCATATTCTTGTAGCGATGATTGAGATGGTGTGATCACGTGATCACGTGCTCTCCACGCGCTGTATGACGTCATTTGTCACGTCTCCCCTCATGACCCCGACAGAAAATCGTTTAACAATCCACCCCTCAACCACAAAATCGTTTCAAAGAGGCACATCAGTCAGAATTCAATATTTTGAATGCTGATATTCGGACACGATCTCTGACCTTATGCCATCACGACAGGAGACTGCAGGACAAGTACAAGGTGCATGCATATATTCGCTACTATGCCAACAAGCTACAGAATCATGATCCCTTGTATATATCGTTTACACATTGCCTCCTGTTCATATCCATGCTATTCCACATCATTCAACCATCCCATGACTCCGAGCTCGATTCGTGGCAACGGTTCACCATGAGTGCAGAATGAGACAGCAATAATGACAACGTAGGCAAGACTTCGACAGGATGAGGGGGTTCTCGAAGCTGTTAGCTTTGACGCTGCAAGACAAGAAGGGGAGCCCTGACATACCAAAAGCATTCGCATCAACTGTGGTGTGGGTGTGCTCCCAAGAGCCACCCAGTGTCATAGGAAATGCATGCAAAAAAGACATGCGTCATCATATATCCAACCAGAGAGAAATGATCGTACACATTGATGGATGTGTTGTTCATCTATCCAGGTAAGAGGGGGAAATGGTGGTACATGTCGAACAGAAGGGAATAGGAACAGTCTTTTACTCTGTCTTGCGGAGAATGAAAGGACTGGAGAAATGGTATCGTAACGCCTCGCTATGCATGGATGAATGGTGAAAAGTTGGAGTGTCGACGTCAGTCTGCAACGCAGGTATGGGGACTAGTGGTCGTGCCGTGAATGAGGGTGGTGTGCAGTCTTTCTGCTGACGCCGACAGCAATTTACCGAGCGGACAGGCCGGATGAGGGATGACGCGGCTGGATTGGAAAGCTCAAACGCGAGGCTTCTTCCAGTAGTATTGCTGCGTGGTGTTAGCCATATATACATATATGAAATGAGGTGGGTGTTGCGTACCTTGTGAGTCTTCCTGACGGAACGAAGACCAGTGCTACGTGTACCTGCAGTGATAGTCTCACGCCTCATCTGATTCGTGTCCATCTCCGGGACATAGTAGAATTCGTTCTCGAGTGGCTGGCCAGCAGCGTCTTTGCCGGCGCGAGGAATCTCGCCAACACATGGGGTCTCATCCAGAATCCTCTTGAGGTCTTGCCTTGACAATTGGGGAAGGGTGTCAGAGGCCTCCGTGCTCTCTGATGACTTACCGTCAGCACTCTTTACAATACAGGCCTTGAGTTCAGCGGGCAGGTTGCTATGAATGGCAGACAAGGGTTGCGAATGAATGCGAGAGAACGCCAGCTGGTTGATGACATGGTTCTTGATAGGAGACTCCTTGAAGCGGAAGGTCTCAACAGGGACACGCCGTGGAGAAGGTGACAGCAATGGTGCGCGAAGGCGTGGAGGGTTAGCCTGGGAAGGCGTTGTCGCTGTGTTGAAAGACGCAAGGCCGTTCAGTAGATTCTGTCCAAAAGGTCCAAAAGAATGAACGACAGGATCATTCTCCTCATCGTTGTCGGAAAAGTCGTCAGCTGCAAAGGATGACAAGATACTAGCCTTGGCGTCAAGTACACCAACCTCTTGGCTGGTGCGTGAACCAGGTAGGGCAGGACGAATGAACGTTTGATCAGCAGAGCCTGGAGTGTCGACACTGGGGCTCGCCTCGCTGGCATCAGCATCCTCAAAGACCTGTACTGTGCCGGGCTGGGAAGCTTGGCCATGACCAGCGAAGACAGGAGGACGGATGGGACTTTGAGATACTGGCGAGCGAGGGATAACAGGAGGACTGGAATCAAAGTTGGACTGTCGTCGTCCAAGCGTAGGCGTAAGGGTGCCCTCTTCTTCCGAATCCCATAGCTTAGATGCAGGGACAGCGGGCCACGCTACCATGACCCGAGTATCCTGCACATCCAAGATGATCTCCGTCTCCGGATTTTCCGATACATAGGTGTCACCCTTGCTCAGCTCAAACACCCGTCCTTTGCAATGAATCTTTGCACCGTTCCAGCCTAGACATTCAATTTCGATGTGGCCATGCGTATATAACGCGCTTGGCGCATGATACGTGGCTTGGACGTGAACGCGTGAAATGAGGCGATTGGTTGATAGCTGGTAGTCTGCAGAGTTGGAGCTCCTGCCCATTCGCACAATTTCGCCATCTGCTGGAAGGTCCACGGTCGGAAGGGCACCGAGTGGGGTCCGCTCCGAGAGGGCAGAGAAGGTGCGCTCCATGCCCGGCCGGGCGTGGCGGGGCGATGAAGAATGCAGTATGCCGGTTGAAGACGTTGGGACGGGGGTCGGATAGTACTTGAGCTCCTGCTTGGGGAGTGTGGGCGACTCAGGCTCGAATTTGCGCTTGGATGAGCGAGGACGCGGGAAGGGCGGCGAGGAGAACGTCGTCTCATCGCCGAATGCGGGGAGCAGCGCTGGCCGACTTAGTTCCGGCTGGTGCCCCTCTGTCGACTCGACGAGCGACTGAGGCAGCATCTTGCTGGGAGAGTCGTCCATGGCGTGTGTAGAGCTCCCTAGACGCGAGACACGGCGTGTAATCGTCTATCTACAGGCGTTACGTGGACGTGGCTCGTGGTGGAGGCTCAGACGCCGGACAGCGGGCGTGGAGGGGTGAGGGCACGAAGGAAGACAGAAGGAAGAAAGAGAGAAGAGAACGGTCAGACACAAGAGGCCATGGGAGGTCAATTGTGGATTCAGAGCGCGTACACGGTCAGACAAAGAAGTGGTAGGTCGCGGTTCGCGATTGTCAGGTGTGGGCACAGTAGCGCGATGAGCTAGGACCTATATGAGCACCATCCGGAATTCACCACGGATCTCTCCCTCGCCGTCAAGTCCCTTTCTGGCTCCCCTGTCTATCCGCAGCATGTCCAACTTGTCTCTGAACAGTACAGTGCTGTTGCCAGTCGATTTTCCCACCGTGACTGCTCTGTCTATCCAGTTCCAAACCCACTGGTTTCCAAGGGCCTTGGGGGCCATTCACGAGCTTGCATGCATGAGCACAAATCTTTCACCTATGACATTCCTCGCTCGGCTGCGTGGCTGCAAATTAGTTTTCCAGGCCGAGTGAACCAGCCCCTCGTACTGCAACAAATCGGACAATGATCCACTGACAAATCGGCAAATTCTCCATATCATGTTTTGGACGCGTGTGACGCACCAAGCACGACTTGAGTATCAATTGGGTACAGTACCGTAAAGCACGCACAAATCAGGGGCGAAACACACCACTGTAATGGAAACAGAAGCACAAAACTACAAAGGAGGGGACTATGCCATCAACCCAACGAGAACTGCCATTGCTACGTCTGACCGTCACTTATGATGCAAATCAATTTCTGCGTGCTGGTCCGCCATGCTAGCCACCAGGTGGGCCAGAGACTTGAAGAGACGTCACGCAGGTAAAAAGAAAATATTTGCGCAGCCATCGACGCAGCTAACGCGAAAGCATGCAATCCTGCTACAAAGTGGAGCTATGAGGCTGACGCGAGGAAATCAAGCGGTAGAGACGCGTCGAGAAACGGAGTAGTGCACGGTGCGTTTCGGCTGGTGCAGAAAGCGGGTGGCATCGACCGATCTAGCAATGAAAGACACAGGCGCTGACGATTCAAAGTCTAACTAGAAGCGCAGGAACGAGCAGATCTACAAGCTGTTGAAGTTCCGTCATGCTCCGCTTCAAGTTCTGGGTAAGTTCTGGGTAGAGGGTGAATGATGTGAAGCTGGTGAAGCGCAGGGAGTGTGATAGGTAGTCAGATGGCTTATCTGCCCGTCTGGTTCCATATACTCGTTTGAACACGCAGAAAGCAAATGTTGAACCAATGTACAGCTTCTCGCCTCGAGATGTGACGTGAATTGTCTTTCCGGCGGTTTACTGCATTGCATGCTTAGCATACAGGAACGGCTGATTGCACGAATTGTGACGCGATGATTGGCTGAAATTTTCGAAATACTTTCCCGATAGAGCAAGGCTTGGGCCCCGCTGTCCGCGTTCCCGATGTGGCCTCGGTCCAGCGGCGAAACATAAGCCCGAGCAGCAAAAAGTTCGAGCAAGGGTCTATGCCAGAATTTCCAGCAGCCATCGAAGAAAGTCCAGCGCAACCACGATACCGCCCGCAACAAGCAGCAATGGCCAAATCAAAGACCCTCACCAAGAAGGTGCAGCTGCCAGTCGAGGCGCCTCTCACCACCAAAGCCGCAGATGGCACACCTTACCAGCTGGACCCGGCGCAAGTCGAACGCGCAGCGAAGGCGCTTGTTGCGCACATGCAGAAGCATGTCACAGAGAAGCAGGAAGCTGCGCCCGTGAAGAACTTGGCCGAAGATGAGGATGAGCCAGAGGCAAATGACGAGCCCATCTTCCTCAGTGTCACTACCAAGAAGCATATTCACGACACAAGCCGTCTGAAGCCCACCAAGATGTCAGTTTACCTGTGCAATGCACTCGCACTTTTGCTGACAAGAGTTCCAGTGTTCTTCCACATCCCATCATTGCGGAAAATGTGCGAATCTGCATGTTTACAAAGGACCCTCAGAGAACGTACAAAGATCTCGTTGCGTCTGATGCCTTTCCAGCTGCTCTCCGGACCAAGGTGCAGCGTGTGCTTGGCGTAGAGAAGCTGAAGAAGCGATACAAGTCATATGAGCAAAAGCGCGCACTCGCAGCTGAATACGACCTCTTCCTCGTTGACGACCGCATCATCAAGATCGTCGCCGAATTTCTTGGGAAATCCTTCTACGGCACCAAATCGAAGCGCCCCATTCCCATTCGCCTTACCGCAGGCGCATACATTGACAAGAGCGCAAGAAAGGATTCAAAAGAACCAGTCAATGTCATTGGAACTGCCCAAGGCATTGCCAAGGAGATTGAAACCGCTCTCAAGTCGACATACCTCAGCTTGAGCGCCTCCGCAAACAGCTCCATCAAGATTGGTCTCTTATCCATGACTCCCCAACAGGTCACCGAAAACACCACTGCAGTCGTCAATGCCATTGTTCCCAAGCACATTGAACACGGCTGGCGCAATGTCCGCGGGCTCCACATCAAGGGTGCCAAAACCAAAGCCCTCCCCATCTGGCTCGCCGACGAGCTCTGGATCGACGAGACCCAAGTTCTCGATGGTCCCCACCATGCCGCCATCACTGACAGCGCCAAGAGCGATTCTGCACAGCGCAAAAGGAAATGGGATGAGTGGGAAGAGGAGCTCCTCGATGAGGAAGAATTGGCGGCTAAGAAGGCACTCCGTGACGCGAAGAAGTCGAAGAAGTCGAACAAGAAGAGCTCCATCAGCAAGGAGAAGCGGTCGGCGATGAAGAAGCAAGTATTAGAGTCGGTACAGACGCCACTAATCGCGAGCTGAACTTGGTTGTGTGATGGTGAATGTATCTATGAGCATTTGACGGGCGTTTTGGGCGCACAAAATTACGATATAGAGGTAGTAGCTAGTACACTACTAGAATGTTTGCGACTGTTTGGTTGACTTCTAGAACGGCATGGTTGAAATCAGGCAATCACTGTGATGATGCCGATGCCGATATCCTATCAATGTGACGTTTGATACAATCGTAAGCAAACTATGTGCTCAATTCAACTGGAAACTTCAGTTGGTGTATATCGATGTGTAGCGATATTTGTACATGTCAAACTCGACTTCATCGTACGTATCACAACGGCCAGCCAATCCACGTGCTGAGTGGTCAACTCCTGGCTCCAACGTGTAATTTCTTCTGGACAGATTGAGGTGCGAAATAATTATCTTCAGCGCCTCTGATGAAAAATTCGCTAGTGCCATACTGGTATCTGATAATCATAATGAAATCATGCTGTTCCCTCCTGTGCGTGAAAACGAATATCTTCTTGGGTATAATATTATCGGCTTTCATGTTCTTGTGAATGTTGACAGTTTGCGATATTGGCTCATGTAGCGGAACAGAGTATGCCCAGGAGAATAAAATCAACTATTCACCATTCTGAATAATCAATACAATAGCTTTGTCCATATAATTTCCAAGTCTGCCTGTGATACTTTGTATTGTATTTCCTTGCGACATTTGGGCAGGTGAAAGAACCGAGGAATTGGAAAAGCAGTGCGCACCAGGTCCTGATAGAAAGTAAATAGAATGGTAGTGGTTGCTAACCACAGAGAAACAAAAGGATACAATATCCCCATAACAGATGAGAATCTATAGTGTCGTTCCCTACCTAGGCAATGGCGACTGTTTCTATACTTTGCCTCCATATTCATGTAATCTTTGCACCGGATGATTCGGCGCCATTAATTAGCCATGCTGCTAGAAATCCAACTAGCCAACCACTGCGGTTTACCTTGGCGTAGTTACCCCACCATCCTGATACAGCAGCTTCCTTCTCACTGTTTGCCCTTCAACACAGATGAGGATATAATTATAATTATTTGCTCATTTCTCTATCAAACATATCAGCCTCTGGCAGATCATCCCAGATCGTATAGTGGTCAGTATTTCTGCTTGTCATTGCCTTGAAAAGCAGAATCGCAGGAGACCTGGGTTCAATTCCCAGTCTGGGAGCTTATATACTATCTTTTTGCATCTTTTTTTGTATTCTTTGTGTCCATCGGCCTAGCCCATAGCATGGCCACTAGTGCCCTCAAAGGCAATCGGAAGGAGTCGCTGGACGCTGTTGGTGCAAGCTCGACGCTACCACGGACCACGGACGACTTTGGGGGCATATTGTTTGAAGGTTGCGTACCACATCTACACCATGCATCAAGTGTGCTCAATTCCCCATCCTATGCGGGGGGACATGGCAATTCTGGCAACAACATCGTGAGGATGAAATTGGATGAAACAAGACTCGGGTACGCTTACCTACGTTGACGCCAACCCGGCGCAGAAAGTCTTCACCAATCCAAAGGAAAGCTGCATTGTTCAAACGTCCAAACTTCAAACTGACCAACCACGGAAAAAAAAAGTAACATGCACAGGGCGAACAGCACTCATTACTTCTATATTGTGATTAGTTCGCGAAGCAACAGTATATACTATCCAGCGTCTAGTACTAGTCCATACATTCTCCAACCACCATGCACCTTCTCGCCCCCTCACGTGGCCAAACACGTTATCGAAGCGCACTTCTCACGCCCATTGGCTTGGGCCCAAATCAATCCCAGCCCCTTCATCACAGTGTTTGATGACTTCGGTACGTTCCTCTCCAACATCATCATCTTCTCCTCCCCCAGGAACCAAAACCCCCAAACTCAATCGCAGCGATTTCTTTTTGTGAATTAACCAACACCACTCCTCAAAAGCCTCGGCCCTCCACACCGCATACACAGCCCACACAGCCGCCGGCGCCACCAGAATCCAAATCATCCGCCTCAACATCCCCGATCTAATCCCCATATCTACACCCATACTCGACGACGAGCAAGCCTCCTACACAACGCTCTACTCACCCAGCACGCACTGCCAGCTCCTGCACGTGCCCTCGCTAGCCGCAGAATTAGACCTCGGTCCAGTGTACACACGACGCCTTTCAGAATATCTAGCCTGTGCTCCAATTCCGCGCTCGGTCATGTCGGCGGCGTGGCCTGTTATTGGCGGGCGCTTGTTCTATGAGGAGGAGGAGGAGGGCTGGGATGTAAGGGATTTGCTGGGCGAGGTTGGGGGAAGGGTGGAGGGGGATAATGGCGGGTTGAGGAGGGACGAGGAAGAGAGGGAGGGGGGCATGGTGTATGACTGGGAGGAGCGGGTGTTTGTAGAGGCAAGGGGATTTGAGCAGCCGAATGAGTGTGTGATGGCGGGTGCGGCGAATTTGTCGAGTGAGGTGGGGCCTGGGTTGTTTGGGTATGATGGGTTTTTGAGGGGGACGAGGGTAGTGGATTAACATATGGGTGTGGCTTTAATGTAGTATAAGGTGTATGATTAGCTGTAACATATTACTGTATTACATACAATGTATATTACTTCGACGTAAAACAAAAAAGGTATAGCATGGCCATCCCGCTTCCTTGGATTATGGCATCTAGCAAAATCGCACAAACGCTACATCTCTTCAGGGCCCATATCGAACAGCAAAAACTCTGCTGCTTTGTCGCCCACACTCTCAATCTCAACCTTCCCCGGGCCAGACAGCCCATCAATATACGCGCCATCCCCCTCTCCCAAAACGGTCTCTCCAATCTTAATCTTAGCACCTCCTTCCTTGGGTTGTGTCCTCCCACCCATGACAACATGCGCAAACAACTTCCTCTTTCCCTCGGCAACCACATCATGCACCACGCTCTTCCCCGGTGACAAAATCGATGCATCCATACTCAAATCGGCCTGCAATCCGATACTCTTCTTGTCATTACCCAGCCTCTCGGTATACTCCATGATCCTGACCAGTTTATCCGCCTTGTCCTCGTCGGTAAACTTCTTGGTCTCGTAGTGCGGCTTGAGTCCTCTCTTGTTCGGCTTGGCCCAGATCTGCAAGAAATGACATTCGCTGTCGCGGTTGCGGTTGTACTCTGAGTGGCGGATGCCAGTACCGGCAGATGTGAATTGGACTTCGCCGCGCTGCAGGTTCTCGAGGTTGCCCATGCTATCCTTGTGTTCGAGAGTGCCGGAGACGATGTAGGAGAAGATGAGGAATTCGGCGTGGGAGTGTGTGCCTGTTGGATTTCAGTCAGCTTCGAACTTTTCTAGCATGGGCGAGGGTATACATACCGAAGCCTGTACCGGCCTTGACCCTGTCTTCGTTGATTACGCGGAGTGGACCCCAGCTTTCGTGGTTGGGATCGTAGTAAGAGGCGAAGGAGAAGGTGTGGTATGTGTATAGCCAACCGTGGTCTGCGTGCCCACGCTGTGACCACGGCCGCTTTGTGATCTTCATGGAAGCTGGTGCTGCAACCGTAGACATGGTGCGTGTGACTGGCTTGCTAATGGCTGAAAAGAGCGTGTTGCGGAAAAGACCCGAGTAAGCCAGGATGATTGATATAACGGTTACAAGTACTGCAAAAGTCTTTGTGTAGAAATATGAAGTAGTGGGTGTGGTAGTGGTGGTGGTAGTAGTAGTTGATTCTTGTGCAGTGGTTCTATTGCTCATTTGAGAGGGAGATTCCAGGGCAAGCGAAGTCGCAACCTCACTTTATACGTGTTAGGAGAACGGAGAGGAAGTTCGCGCATCTTGGAGACGTTTCCAAGGGAAATTCAGCCTTGAGCATAGCATTTGCAATGATTGACTAAGACTATGCTAACAAGCTTGTGGAGGTGGAGATGGGCCTAGCGGGGATCAGTAATGGATGACGTTCTTGCGTGCGGAAATTTATCAGCGGGGCTTGATTGGCTCATCGACGGTAGGACGGAATAGCATCCGATCATGGCGAACAACCCATCAATCGCACTTCTTCTTTGTCCTTGTATTCATTGATTACTCCAGCACATGCGAGATCGACTTTTCCTCCAATTAGTCAATCACGTTGTTGCAAGTCCATTCAACGCAGAAAACAGTGGCGATCATGGCGTTGAGGAACTTTGACCCAGAAGCACTGCTGCAAAAATGGGATGAGAAGAAATACTCTCCTTTGCACAATGGAAAGAATCTCGCACAATCGTTGCGAGAAGCTTTTGGGATCCCAAAGTCAGACACGTACGTCTACCGGGCTCTCGCAGAAACCACACTAGACATCACACAACGGGCCATTGACGCCAAGCGAGCACATGGTCTACATGGCTGGTATCACGACGATGAGGGCAATCCTGTATGTTTCGTTCTGTACTTCTTCAATATCATGAAATCACATTTGGATGAAGAAATAACACAATCTATAAACAAATAAGCACATCTGTCAAATCCCATTTCAACACACGCCTTCTCTTCCGCAAAGCCATCTCAAAGCACAAGAGCAAGTAAGCCCAAACATCTAACATACCCCAGATTGACCCCCCACACCCAACCCCCTCCGAGATAACCAGCTACACAACCCTCTTCGACCCCTCCCTCTCCCTCCCCAAAGCCCTCACATCCTTCCGAGCAAACGCCCCCAAAGCCTCCCTTCGCCTCCCCATCTCTACCCACCTATCCTCGCTCTTCTTCCACCAAACCCCCTCCACCCAAACAACAGTCACCCAAACACCACAACCACAACCCCTACCCCTCCTCCCCTCCAAAAAACCTCGCACCCACAAAAACCCCTATCTAGACCTCTGGACCTACTCCTGCCACGAACTAGAATACGCAGGCCCCTTGCCTTCAACCTCCAAAACGCGCATCTCCCACCACATCCTGCCCCTCTTCTACCACCACTTTGGCTGCATCGTGCCCTCGTACGCCGCACTGCACGTCATTGCCAAGCTGGCACAGCCTGCCAAACCGAGTAAGCAGCCCGTGAAGCCGATTCTGGACATCGGGAGCGGAACCGGGTATTGGACGTTTATGCTACGGAATCTTCCTATGGTGGGGGGTACGGGTGCGGGGAGGGATTTGGATGTTAGGGCGGTGGATAGTGGGATTAGTGAGTACAGGGTTACTTGGGTGCGGGATACGGTGAGGATGGATGGGGTGCGGTATTTGGAGAGCGTGGTCGAGGGCGGCAAGGGCTGTGTATTGCTGCTTGTGTATCCGCAGGCTACGGGGTCGTTTACGGCCGATGTATTAAGGGCGTTTGAGGGGGACAGTATTGTTGTGGCTGGGACGCAGAATGGGAATAGGTTCACCGGGTTTACGGATATGAGGGTGGATGAGTGGGTGGAGAAGAATTTGAAGGCGTTTGAGTTGACGCTGAGGATGCCGTTGCCGAGTTTTGCGGGCAAGGATGAGGGCTTGTTTGTTTTTCAGAGGAGGAAGGTGTAGATGTTAGGTGGAAATGTTGAGATGACTGCGTATCGAGTCAAAGCGGACAAGACGGCACATTGGTCATGATGGTGAATAACACACCGAAAGAGCCATAACAACGTTATTCATTCTCATATCTGATAGGGACGTACCCCGCATCAACCTACCACTTGGCCTCCTTCCTTGCCAAAAACTCGTTTAGCACACTGACATGCTTCTCCAATGCCGCCAGCCACTTCTCAAGCGCAGGCTGCACCTTTGCATCGTCCTCGCCCAACTTCGCATAGAAGTCTTTGCGGTATGGTGTAGCGCTCATGGCGGCGCTGAACAACGGCTTGACCACAAACGAGTGGTGGGGCTTGAGTGTGTTGCCATAAGAACTGCGGAACGATTCGGCGAGTTCCTTGTCGGCGTTGGTGAGGTTATGGCGGAGGGCTTGAGCGGTGAAGTCGAGACCACTGTGGTAGGATAGGTTGTTAGTTATGGAAAGATCACAGGAAGGGCCGAAGGAAAGACAGGGGGAGTGGAGCTTACCGGTTTAACCATACGAGGCCTTCGGTGGCAGTGTGCTTCTTCTCCTTGAGCTCGTTGAGGACGAGGTCTTGGAGCGTTTCCGAGAGGGTTGGGGCTGCAAGCTGGCGGTCACGGATTTTCTGGTCCTCTGTTAATATGGTGGCCTGGTCGGAGTGTGAATTAATGTACCTTAATGTTGCCAGACATGTCACTCTTGACAGGCTTGAAGGCTGCTGAGCCTAGGACGTCTATCATTCCCAGTTAGCCCTACCATCTCGAAAAAGAGGACTCTCAACAGCCATCATCAGACCTACCAAAAAGCGTAGTCAGACTCTCAGCCGCTTCAAGGAACTCAGTCGTCGAGATGGCATTGTCCTTGGAAGCATCAATCGGCACATCCTCGAAACTTTTCTGCATGGAATCGAAGAAGGTCGCCATTGTGAATTGAAACTGTGTGGGTTGTCTGTGTAATTGGAAGGGTATACCAGAATTGCCAGAAGAGGGTGAGAAGAAGAAGAAAGGAGCAATGAAACTTGACAGCTGGAGAGTTGCTCTTGTCCAGGCAAGCGGTGAAGTGTGGACGCGTATAGTGGGGGCAGCGGCTAGGCTAGCGCGGGGAAGTGCGCGACATACAGGGTCTGGAAGAGGGGGAGGGGGACAGGGACCCTGACGCAGCCGTGACAGGTGCTTGTGCATCCCAAGTCTGTAGACTGGCTGTTGGTGCCGGTAGGTAGTGGTGGTCGCAGAACTGGTATTGTGTGGCGTGGAATATAGAGTACACTGATTCCATCTACAGGACAAGACCAGCTCAATGAATGAGTGATTGATACC